CTAGGGCGGTCATGTTATGGACTATATAACCATTGACTATATAACCATCTGAAGATAATCAAGACTATTTTCTTTTCTGAAATTTGCAAAGAATTTTTTAGTTGAAAAAGGGTTTAGTTGAATTCCTTTACTCCAACTGATCACATTTTGCTCCAGAGATATGCTACGGATGTATTAAACCAGTTTTTGTTGCAGTGTGACGATAAAATAAGGTTTGGGCTAATTCTTACAGCACAAACGTGCATAAACATAACTTGACTCATAACTGTTTCCTATGATTCGATACCCAATAATTTAACTTTTTTCTAACAAGTTACTCATTGAATTTGAAACTAAATACTCTATAAATGTTTCACAAAGCTATTTTAATGCTTTCGAGTACTTAAAATGTAATCTAGGATATTGGCAGGTTTAGATACTGTGTTTTTTACCGATTCCTCCAAATTAATATTTGTAGCACCAATAAATGTTATTTTAAGTACGTTGTCATTCAATTTCGATTTCCAAATGCACCAAAGGGAGGTTTATGTAATCAATCATGTCACCGTGGGTTTAATCCTCGAGTTGTTGATCATTTAGCGGTCGGATTACTGTTTTTAAACTTTATATTAATCAAACAACCTTCGCTTTTACTTATTAATCTTTTAAATTTGTTTTTGTCGTGATGAAAACACAATGCATATGATGTTTTGTATTTTGAGTTACCCATACAGTTCTTGACAAAAAATTTCACTCTCTTGTATTCTCACCCAATCACTGCCAAACCTAATTTTTATAAAACTTTTGCATTGGTGTAACAAAGCATAGGCATATTACAGTGGCTTAAAAAGAGATTTGAAAAATTACAGATGGTAGTGCTAAATAATAGTAATGATTCAAATCCAAGCTAGAAAGATTCCCAAAGCACACATTCAACCAACAATGTTTGGGTTTTCCTCCTCAAACCAATCTCTCTTCATCAGAACAGACACATTTAAGAAGATAAGTTTGCCCTTTCCAACACAAGGGATACAAATCAATTTTGCTATGGAAAAGTTACTTTCAGTGAGAAAGTTTTCAGAAAATTCTCTCTCTCTCTCTCTCTTTATCTTTCTGTTTCTGTAATACAATCAAGTAATGACTATAACGAGTATCTTACTCTTGGGATGTGTTCAATTCGATATATGCTCCTAAACTCTACCTAGAAGTAATAAATAGATATAACATTTTAGTAGGCTTTCACAACAAACAATTCTTGTAGCCAAGAAGTAATCGTACTCGCCTTCAAATCTGAAGATCGCTGGTTCGATTCCAAGCGGGGACGATTTTGGACCCACTTGTAATTTTTATTGGGTTATCAATTAATGATACTATCTACTCGTAACAAAAGGATGATGTTACATAGTAACAATACCAGGGGGTTTGGGCCGTTTCTTTAAAAGAAATTTCAAAATTGGAATGGCATTAAAACATTAACAATATTCTTTACAAGTGCTTGTAAGCAAACAATTTTGACCAGAAATGTGATATAGTGATGGTTTAAAGGAATGTTTACGTTTATGTTATTTTTGATGATTTAAAGAAATGAGCATATTTTAAAATATTTATCTCGATAAAATCGTAGCTTTCGTAAATAACAGTTTTCTGTAAAATGAAGCATTGTTGCAAATGCTTGAGAGTTAATGGGGAATAGTTTTTGGTAATTAAATTTATTGATTTCAATGCTATTGCTCAATCAATTCTTTTTCATTTGATATAAATTTATAAAATTAAGTATAATTTGAAAAAAGACCGTTTACAGATTTTTTAAAATTTTTTTATTGAGCATTATTCTTTAAACAATGAATGGTTGTATATTTTTTATGACTTTACCAAGGTTTCATTAAAGTTACTTAGTACTGTACTGTACTTCAAACAAAACTGTTCATATCAAAAGGGTGAAGACCTTTTGAACTTTCCATTAGTGAGATATTTACCAAAGACATAATGTAGGCCTACTCAGTTCAAAAGTAGAACTTCAAACAATACTATGGATCTTCCTATTTGGGTTTAACGTATTCCTCCAAAAGGCAACCCCGTATTTCATAAAGATGCTTTCGGGGAGGGCGAAATTGTATTGAATAAATCATCCCTCCTCTCAGCTTTCCTGCATTCCCTCCACTTTTCTGTCTCGTTATCTTTTATTATGACCAATTCTGCAAAGGTAATTAAATAATTTAATTAAGTAGTAAACGTACTAAATTTTACATTTGCAATGCAACAAAAGATATTTTTCCCTCGTACTCATATTATTTGATAAAGCATTGAATTCATTATATTGGAGGATAAGTTTATACATCAGAATTTAAACAAAACGATTATAGTTTGTTAAGTTGGTAAAACTGTTATAATCATAAGAATCTTAAATGTAATAAATGTGTCACATAAATCTAAATGTAGCTTAAATGACATTTTGTAGTATTCAAAGAGTATTTTATCAAAAAAGAGTATTTATTCAAAGAGTCACACTTTTACGTTTATTAAAAGAAAAGATTTACTAACTTACACTCCAATTATTAGCCATGGCCCATTTCAACATGTAGGCTAATCATCAATACAGGGTGATTGATATAAGTGTGCCAGCCGTTTTGTTCGAAAACTATAAGAGATATAAAAAAAAGTTAAATGGTAAGTGCCTTGGATTTTTTATTTTAAAAATTGCAGTCAAGTCGAAAAAATTATTTTAGCCGCCATTTTTCCATTATGGCCGCCAACTTTGATTTTTCTTATGGAACACCCTGTATTTTACTATGTATTCCGGCAGAAAATGTAATTTTAAGATGATTTTATTCTTGTGATTTTTTTCATAAACCTAACCGTTTCAAAGTTAATAATAGTTGAAGTCTTGAAATTTCGGCATGAGAAAGAGTTTCGATAAATGCCTAAGCAAGCAAGCCAGCTGTTTTATTCGAAAACTATTCGAAATTTCACAACTTTGATCATTATTATCTTTGAAACGGTTAGGTTTATGAAAAAATCACAAGAATAAAATCATCTTAAAATTACATTTTCTACCGGAATACATCATAAAATAAAGAGTGTTCCGTAAGAAAAATCAAAGTTGGCGGCCATATTGGAAGAATGGCGGCTAAAATAATAGAGGTTAACTGTAAGAAAGGACCATGTGGTCCTAAGTTCGCCTCAATAAAGAAGCATTTTCATTTCATTTTTTTTTCATTTTCATTTTCATTTTTAAAATATTTTTTTTCGACTTGACTACAATTTTTGAAATAAAAAATCCAAGACACTTGCCTTTTAACTTTTTTTGAAATCTCTTATAGTTTTCGAATAAAACGGCTGGCACACTTATATCAATCACCCTGTATGTAGGTATAAGATAGGAGAGTCTGTTTGCAGTTAAAATAACACTTTTCAGCTACGGCTCACTAATTTTCCTTGGGGAAGACTCTTTCAATCAACTATAGCTGATAAAATTAGTTTGTCTCCTTTCGCCTCTTTTTAAGACGTATACGACAACAATATAATATATTTCAATTTAATTCGCTCGTGTAAGTAATGTGATGTAAATGATATCTAAGTGATGTGTTTCTAACCATTATGAAAAACTCACAAAAACGAGTACACAGCAATAATAAGTCTTACTTTAGTTATTGTATATTTTTAATACTAGGAACTTCACCCGTTCTTTAGCTACCTAATGTTAACAATTCTTTAAAGGCTGTTCCAAAAACGGCTAAAATGGTTTTAGAAATGTTTTTATCTTTCATAAAAAAAATCACAATTACGGATTTTATAATGTGAAGAAAACATTATTCAACATGTTATTTAGTTTTTATAGCCTAGCTTTTATTTAAATTCAATTTTTTTTAAACACTCACGCCAATTTTTCTAAATTATGTGGTTTAGAGCTCCAGGTCAATATTGCAACAGGAATGAGACGGAAACCTTCCCAGGCATATTATTTTAACTAGGTGTCGCATAGACAACCTCCAAAATGCCCCTAGTATTTAGGCACTCTTGCCGAGTTCTATCATAGGTAGGCCTAAGGAAGTCTATGGTAAAACCTTTCCATAGACCATAATGTTTGAAACGTCTTTACATCCATAAAAACTTTCACAGAAGACATTCATATATAAATATATTTATTCACTTAGACTTAAAAATGTACTATCTTTAAATATATAGTGCAATACCCTTTGGGTTCAAATCCAGATGATGCAAAATTTTTTGTCATGTGGTAAAACACTAACATTCACACAAAAACTGTTATATACATTTTATTTTAAATTAAATGAGTAAAGACAAATTAATTATTATATAGTGTTTAATGATTATTAAAATGTATAAAAACAAAAATATGTACACCGAAACTATGTCGCTATAACAAACATAGACGAAAACTAAGCAGAAAAACAAACACAGGTCAAAAGAAATAGTCGCAAAACGGACATCTTCATTGGTTGTCATGAAGTCCAGAATCTGCTAGATACATTGTTGCCGGGATCGTTCGATGGTACCATAGATTAAACATACTCCCTTACGCTATTATAACGAACGAAACAGAAAGCCTGTATTTTTTTTCGTACGGTGACTGACACTTCGGCGAAAACGAAGTCGCACTTCGTTGTCGTCTCGAGGGTTAAAAATTCAGTTCATCGACGGATATACGTTGGCTACTTTGGACCTATGGCTCACAATTAACATGTAGAATTCTGAATATCAATTGCTGGAGTTTAAAAATGATTTTAGGGCATCTGAATGGTTTAATACTCTCCTAATAATCAAACGTTTACTGGTTCGATGCTGGTTCCGTAGCTTTTAAGTGGTTCAAAACTGTACTCAGCTGTCTTTGATAATTGAAAATAAATAGTCTTAGCTAGAAACAAAAGATCTGAGTCAATAACGAAGATATCAACTCACCCAGTCAACACTCATTCTTCACTCATCTTATAATACACATAATACTGAGGTGTCTGCGTTGTATAATGTAAAATGAGTGACTGATATCAATCTTCTTGCAGGAGGACGACTGCCTCCGGAACTGAGAGCCACTCAAACTACCTCACCATGCAGACTTGCTGGGGAGAAGGAGGTACCTCATGGCCATCAGGTACGTACATAGCCAACCTAGGTACTGGGACCCCTCCATATTTCGTTTTAAATCCAACATAACCTACGATCCTGCAGCCAATTGTTTACAAATAACATACATTTGGTATTTGAAAGAGACCTTGAGTGTGATACAGTGAAATAGGAGTTTTCATCACTAGGACCGAAATTTTTTTTTTTTTTTGGGGACGCAATCGTGCACCTTGCCAAACTTGGAAATACGGTTAAATATCAAAAGGACACTTTTGCTCCTAGTGATGAACAACTATTTTCCTCATACTGTGGGAATAACCTTATAATCGTTACAAAATTAGGCCAAAGTCATCATCAATGTGTATTTTCTGTTGATTACAAACATAACTTTCAATATCTTGTAATTAGCAGTGTTTTCATAATACACGGTTAAAATTTTTGAGGTTATATTTAATTATATTTAATGAACATTTAAATTTAGTTATACATTTCATTACAACAAAAGTTTACTTTTGAAAGAGTATCTCAAACCTCCCATTGAATCTTTGACAGTTTTTGAGAGAACTAAGTTATCTACTGATAGCGTCATTTTACACGTAAAGAGTGCTTATTTTTGTTGTAAATCAAAATTCAATTAATATCAGTATTTTTTTTTTTTTTTATAAATTAACCTAAAAAGTTATTGAAACGTGTTCTTAAACTTGGAGTTGACATTTAGGTAGCAGTAAACTAAGTTGGAAACTGTTTACACACGAAGTGTTGCACTCGCCAAAGTCCCAACCACAAACTCACCCCTACTACAAGGCTCTCCTGAGTACTGGATATTATATGAGGTCATTGTTGATCTGTTGTGCAATACTGTATGTAAAGTCATCAATACAATATGCCGTGTGAAATAAGCTGATTTTTCATGATCACGTGAAACCTAAACCGTGATTTTTGCAAGGAGGCTAAGATTAAATTGAAAATGATGTAGAGTGGTACAATGTTAGTTGTTAAAAAGCTATGAGTAACACATTTTAGTGCACAAACCAGAGTCATTAAGAGAAACAGAAAGCACAAAAGGTTGTGTAAGTAACTACTATAAATCCGGTAAAAAAATAAAATTTTAGCGATATATTTCGTATTTTTTTTTTTGTTTTTATGATAACGGGCGACTGAGTTGGTTCAAAATATATTTCTAAACTAAAATCAGCTAGTATTGCAAGATTTATAGGTCCACCAACTAACTTCAGGAGGGGAAATATAGCGACTAGAAGAACAGTTTTGTCCTCATTATCCATAGGATTCAACCCTTGTACCAGTTAATCATAGCTTACTTCAGGCTGCATTTACAGTTTTTAAATTAAAATCCAACTATAATGTTATTTTAGACAAACTAGACCTCACTTAGCACTTATTATACCAACTACAGTATTATTCCTCTTATGACAGTGCTACATCATAACAGCGATAACAGTACGATAACCGAGATTATTTTGCATACATGTTGCAGAAGATTTTTTAAATACATGATGATGAGGTGCATGGTTTTTTCTTGACCCTGGTCAGTTTGGTGTAGTGTGTAGTAGAGTCTAGAGCTTCGGCCCCGAGGTTTCGGGTTCAAATCCCGCCAAACCAAAATTGCTTTACATGTGATAACGCGACCCACTAGGCCTAGTCTGAGGTAATGTGTAAAAGGTTTCCCTTCCACAACCTAACGTCCCAGAATGTGAAGGTAAGACATTTAAAAAGTCACAAAAGATTGCAGAAACCCTTCTGTCAGTCTTCTTTAACATGACTTGACACTAATCCACCACGTAAGACAAATACAATTGATCTCAAGCATTCCTTAGAAACTAATAGCATCATATTTTATCATTACAACCTAATTCAATTAAATACCCAGTAGGGGGGCGAGCTGGTTTAGTGGTAAAGCGTGGGGCTTCGGTGCCGAGGTCCCGGGTTCAAATCCCGACAATCACTAATAAATTTCATCTATGTGATAATACCGAACATCGCTAGGAATAGCTTGAAGTAATGTGTAAAACAGTTCCGGACTAGAACTAGCGTCCTAGGATGTGAAGGTGTGACATAAAAAAAATTAAATACCCCGTAAAATATCGAAAATATGCATGTAATTCTTCATTGAATTCGTCTAGGCAACGGTATATCTACAAAACCGACAAGACGGTACAGTGTATTTTGTAACAAACTTTTCTAAGTATCAAATAACAGGAATATCCACGTTTGTTGATGTCAGTCCAACACGAACCTAAGTTTTAGTCCGGGAAACCGAGCTTGTAATAATAGGTTTGATTATGGCCCGTCGCACGCCATGTATACAATGCACGAACCCTCTGATGGTCTCATTGTTATATATGGGTATCGTTGATTATGTTATTGTGTATAGATTGCCGATTTGTGCTACTGTACTTTTGACTAATTTTAATCCATGAACTTAGTTAGCGTAGTTTGGATCAAAACTGGTGGGAATTTTATCCACAATTCCCAGAAAGTAACTAGAGAAAGCTGGTTTTGAGTTGGTAACAAAGCTATTCATCCCATACTCATAATTTATATTTGGATCGAATACAAACAGCTCGACTTCATTTTAATTGGAAGATACTTCATTTTAATTTAACGCTATACAGTGTGTAAATTAAGTCTTGAAACAAATCTGTATTTTAAAAACAGAAATAGATAGAAATATTCTGTCAAAAGAAACACAATGACGCAAACCCTTTGACAAATCCTTTAAAACGAGGGGTCACTCATTAGGGGTTACTATTTGAAAACATAAGTCACCCCCTACCCCCTACCCTGTTAAGGGGGTTAAAAAATATTTTGGATGTAAAAAATTACGGAACCTTTGTTAACAATCAATGCCACAAACAGAATATTTCTATCTATTTCGGTTTTAAAAATACATATTTTTTTCAAGACTTAATTTACACACTGTATATATTTTGGTGGTATACTGTATATAGCGATAAATATGGAAAGGTTGATAGTGATTAAATGTTTGTTTGGATTTTTTGTATACTCAAGGAGTTACATAGAATACAAAAGACAATACAATATTATATCCAATACAATACAAAATTTCATCACTCTATTTTGTTTTTAATTTACAAAAAAATAAAGCATTATTAATTCCTTGATTTTAAAATGTATTTATCTTATTACACTTGAGTCATAACTAACTATGGAGAAAGTCCAAAGGTGGACAATTTTAGGGGCACATTTCAACACTAACCTGTAATTATTTGTTTTAATCAATTATTTGTACACATAATATACCCAATACATGAACATACGAAGTCAATAAACAGCCATACCAAATTAGTTGGCTGATTATTATTTTGTAATAGATCATACAAAACTCACCTCCGTAGTTTAAACAGCTTACGTAAGGTCACAAGGTACTTGATTTTCATATCGCTTCTGATCGTAAATTTTGACATGAAACTGTGAAATTTTAACTACTTCTAAACAGAAACAAAGTTGCATTAAGCTATTAATAAGTAATTTCTCGGGAATGGAAGTAAATTTCAAACTTTGGTGTGTGAGAGGTGAATATTTTAACCTATAAACACACGTTAGAACTTTAAGGACGAAATATTCGTCTCTCTCAAATCCCAAACATGTTCAAACTCGTCATGTGGGACACGTTTCCTAGCTCACAATTTATTTCAACTACGTACGATGTATACATCACGATACATATGTAAAACCCCATATGTAAAAACTTTGTCGACAATAGCCGAACCTGTGTAATAACAGCTTCATATCGAGTGTGACGTAAAAAGACTATATTATGATGAGTTGTTTATTTAAAAAATGAATAATACCCATGAAACGTAATGAAGATAACTCTTTATTCTGTGATAGCAGTTATTTTTAATTGGATACCCTCTTAATGTGAGTTTGAACTCCCTAGGAAAAACCTTATGGTCGGTACAGTTGGTACTTGTACACAAGTCATTTTTATATCAGCTGTCATACTAATTTCAGTATCTAGATCATTTAAAAACATCTATCTATCTATATACTTATTTAATACGCAAGCAGGTTTTTTGTGACAATTACTCCTCCGAAACTACTGAACCGATTGACATGTTTTTGGTGTCATTGGAAAGAACGTAACGTGAAGTTGTGCAGGAAACTTTCTTTTTATGAAAATAATTAGAGAGTGAGGCCCTGGGGCCCTTTAAAGTTTCATATTTCTCCATAAGATTAACATGGGAAACAAAAATTGTTATGAAACTCCAGCTGTTAACAGATATTAAAAGTGAGAAGAAGAACATATGTTAATTGTAAACATTCAATAAGTTTGAACAAACATTTACTGACTTGGTTGAAATGAAATATTTACTATTTGAATTTGGGTAGAGATATTACAACGGAAAAAAGCGAGAGAGCCTAGATAAAATGATATAATCTGTTATGTACATCTTGAGTATTTACATAATCTTTGAGTCAAAGACATAAGAAATTATGACTGTTATTCGTTTTAAAATAACACCTGTAATACTTAGCAATTGCTCGAATTCGAGCAACAGGGACACTAGTACTTACTTAATACGCAAGCAGGATTTTTGTGACAATTACTCCTCCGAAACTACTGAACCGATTGTCATGTTTTTGGTGTCATTGGAAAGAGCGTAACGTGAAGTTGTGCAGGAAACTTTCTTTTTGGGAAAATAATTAGAGAGTGAGGCCTAGGGGCCCTTTGAAGTTTCGTATTTCTCCATAAGATTAACATGGGAAACAAACATTGTTATTAAACTACAGCTGTTGTCAGAAATGCTGTTCTGCTATTTAATTTAATTAGTTTACCAGGAGAATTGTTTCTTGGTGCCATGTGGTCAATGAATTATACTTTTGCATATATTTTAAATGCGATACACTATATAAAATGATAGTACTGTAATACATTAAGAGATCTTAATTTAAATAATCAATAAGCAGGATTGAGCTTTTGCCTATATGTTTCCTGATAAGTGTGTGTATCCTGTGGTAAGTGTGTTGTATCTGTTTCCCAAAGTATATTATAGTATCTTAAAGTAAACCCGAATTTTTCTTTTCTGCATTCTGACCCCGTAGCGAAGCACGGGCAGAGCAACTAGTAATTTTTTAATATATCAGACTTCTCCTTTCATATTCCTTGTGTAGGTATCCTCAGAATACACCAGAATCCCCCCACCAGTCACCATCCTCAAAGCCAGGAATCAAATGGAAAACCAGGATTGTTACAAGGACTCAACTGCTTCAAACAGTCTTCAGAAATCCCTCAGTCAGAAGGGCTTGATAAGGAAACGTTTACTGCATATATATATCTGACTACAGCTTATGTTCCCGCCCATCCTTCAATACTAACAGATACTGAGACAAAGTCAAATTTACTTTAGGCATTACAATAATGACTTGTCAAAGGTGTAGCTGATTGGCCCAATATTTTTGGGATCTCAAAGTGGATAAAACTACCCTTTGGAGGAATATATGAATTTCCTCTTCTTCCATCCACTCTCTTTATGAAGTTTCCCTGTGGCGTTGTCATTTCACTGACATCCCAGTTATATTGTCACATAACGCACTAACTAATAGTGACATAGTGGCCAAAAATCCTCCAAAACGTTTTAAAAGCTGAAAACTGAATACCAATTACGTTTTTTTCATTTTTTTTACTTCCTAGTTATTTAGTAACGATTCTTCATAGCCTGGCTAAGCTTGGACTGAAACTCGTTTAGGACTAAGACCTAAGCACCTTAAATTCTCTTTCAATTAAAAAATTACCATTACTACGCCATAAAAATACCATAAAAAGTCAGATCAAAATAATTCTTGTAATATCCGTGTTATTCCGTTTGATTTGAATACCCACACGACGTGCTTTGGTAAAAGAAGGATTTTGGTAGTTTTCGGGATTATGGTCCATTTCCGGAATCAGCGTTGAATTAAAAGTAGAATGAAAAAATTCAAAAATCGGGTGCAAACCATAAAATGCATACTAACCAGACCTTTTTGTTCGCCAGACTAAAAACTTCGAAAAAATTAACTTTTGATGTATTTTCATGTTTGCCTATAAAGAGATGCTAAATATAAATCTGTCAACACTGTACTGTGGGATACAGAGAGGTACGGTAAACACACTAATACCTAGAGACCATTGCAATTAACCGAAATCGACCTCCCTATGTATACACCGTATACAAACTGGCACCGTGATAATACTGTATCTATTAGGGTAGTGTATTAATATACTAGATTTATTGTGCAGAAAAATATGTTCCTACCATAGAAAATAGGGATTTATGCAGCATAACCTTAGACTGAAGATATGTAATTGAATTCACATGTAACCAATAAATAACACCAATATAACATATATAATATTATAACCGATAATATTGAAACGTTCTCAAAAATTTACCAAGAAAATGTATGTAATCTTTTATCTTTAGTTTTGAAAACATAATATTTTAATGTAGTTTTTGCCAAGTGTACGTACAGTTAAAATATCATACTACAACATCTATTTTATTCGTATTTTGACTATTTTCGGGTTTACTACGGTAGAAAATACAAAATGATTTACACACAAATGTAATTTAAAGTTTATTATAACTAGCTGTTACCCACGGGCTCCACCCCGTTTTACTACATTAGTAATTAATAAAACTATTGATTGGTTAAGTTAAGATGAAATAAACAAAACAGAATACAAACAAATAATAACAGCTGATAATATTATTTTTAACATTAGGTAAATGGAAAGTTCCCTTCGGAAAGCAATTACGACCTTAGAGGGCAGTTTATGAAATAATGGATAATTTTGCGCAAGGTTTCTCGTCATGACGAACATTTTAAGTATATGGTTAATGGGGGTGTGACTTGTAGTTTTCTCAAAAGTTCATGGGTACTTTTGGCTTTATATATATAAGATTTCTTTGTAAGGTCAACTTCGAAATTAACTTAATACTAGTGTCCCTGTTGCTCGAAATCGAGCAATTGCTAAGTATTACAGGCTTTATTTTAAAACGAAAAACAGTCATATTTTTTATGACTATAAAAGATTCGACTCAAAGATTATGGAATACTCAAGATGTACATAACAGATCGATATAATCAACATTTCTTGTAAATATGTTATCATTTTTCGAAAGCTGATTTTGTTTTTTAGTGTTTATAACACACATTATTTCTATTTCTATTTCTTCCCCTTGGTGGTGTTCTATGACTTTCCTATGTTTACATAGTTTGCAAATCGTCTCTTTCAATGATTACTAAGAAATGCAGCACAGTGTTAATTCAGTTTTCTTTTTAGTATATCAATTTATCCAGGCTCTCTCGTTTTTTTCCCATTGTAATAATTACGCCAACCCTAATTCAAATAGTAACTATTTCATTTCAACCGAGTAAGTAAATGTTTGTGGCAAACTAATATTAGCAAACTTATTGACTGTTTACAATTAACATATGTTCTTCTCTTCACTTTTAATTTCTGACAACAGCTGGAGTTTCATAACAATATTTGTTTCCCATGTTAATCTTATGGAGAAATACGAAACTTTAAAAGGCCCCAGGGCCTCACCCTCTAATCATTTCCCTAAAAAGAAAGTTTCCTGCACAACTTCACGTTACGCTCTTTCCAATGACACCAAAAACATGTCAATCGGTTCAGTAGTTTCGGAGGAGTAATTGTCACAAAAATCTTGCTTGCGTATTAAATAAGTATAGATAGGTAAGTTAAAATAACATAGTAAGTATATTGAATGGATTATATTTAAAAGGACAAACTATGATAAATTCAATTTTGACATGTATAGAGCTGTCAATAGTCGATAAATGGAGCTGTCAATCGGTACCACACACAAACTGCCAAATCAAAATGTCGATGTTGTAGATCGAAAGGGACGACACGGGTGAGTTATACATCTATTGAGTAAGTTCTGCTTTAGAGGCCATTCGATTACTAAAACTTAGACAAACTGTATCTCACTATCGACATAGTGTGGTTGATCACCCAAGTCATTCGATGATTCGCACAAACCATGACGATCGATGTATCGATGTTACAGATCGAGAGGGACGACCCGTGTGAGTTCTGCATCTGTATTGACAGCAAAGTATTCTGCTGGTGGGGCCAACAACACTGCACCAACAACGAGTCATCCGATAACTCTACAGGTAAGTCATTAATTATATCTGGTAGTTAAAATGCTAAAAATATATCGCATAGATACACATGTAAATACAGATCAAATTGATTTCAACCAATTACCATAGATTTCACCACCAACTGTTTCAATGTTTGTCTATTATGTAAAATTTACCTATGCATATAATTTGTGTGTTATGTACCAACAAATTGGAAAATCACACTAGCTTTGGCATATTACCTCATATTAAAATAAATATTCAAAAACTATGGTTAATTTGAGTTTTTGTACATTAATTTTACAATGTATCAAAACCAGTTATTTTCACCTCAAACTCATCTCAATTCTCCATTCTGTTTTCTAATAAATTTGTCGTTAACCTAGACTCTTGTATGCTGCCATGTACTCCTCAAATACAACTAATACAACACCGCGGCGTTGGTGTGTGGCAACGTCACACCAACCGACATATTGTCATGGTCATAACAGAAATAACAAACATGTAAACATAAACAGTGAGCAAAAGCTCTACTATGAATCAGTGCAACAGCTGTCTTGGTAGGGCGGGAATGCGGTGTTGCCACTTTTATCTCCTCTAGTCAATAGTATAAGGCAGTGGCGATTCAAGGCCGGCCGGAGCGACGTTGCCACACCACGCCGTGGCGTTGTATTAGAGTAGGCACAGAGAAGTAATATAAATATTACTTCTTTATATTACTTTATATTACTACTACTTTATATTACTTCTCTGTGGAGTAGGCCATGATGCCACCTTAGTTTCGCAACTATCGTACACATGTTTAGTGACTCCCATCTTTTTCTAGACTCAACCTCCCCCAGCTGGAGTGATTCCTCGGACAACTCCTCTTCTCTCAACACTACAGACTCCACGGAGCCCTCCACCACGCCGACCTTGTGCACAGTCATGGGTAAGTATCCAGGCAGGGTTTTGACAGAGATTCCACCTCATCTGAGACTAAATGTTGTGTATAAAACTAAATGTTTTTGTTTCTTACCAATAGCAATAAAGCTGTCAGTAACTGTAATATATAAGGGTTCTTGGATGGAAAATGATTAATTCCAAATTTAAATAGAACGTGAACCCTTAGAATTTAAAACTCGCTACATTCATTTAACATCATATAGACATTTAAACCTGAAAAGTTTAGTGAACTTGATTATTGTAAATGAACTGATTTTACTTATTACTCCATGTTGTACAGGCAGGCAGTACTCTGTGGGTGCTGTGTTGCCCAGGGATACAGGCACCTGTCTGGAATGTGTCTGTGGCACGGCTGACAGTGTTACATGTAGCCCCAATGACTGTATTGTATATGTACTGATTATTACTCCATGTTGTACAGGCAGGCAGTACTCTGTGGGTGCTGTACTGCCCAGGGATACAGGCACCTGTCTGGAGTGTGTCTGTGGAAAAGCTGGCAGAGTTACATGTAGCCCCAAGGACTGTATACGTCCAAGTGACGACTTCCACAACTCGGACCCAAGTAACTCCTTGGATATGTTCGACGTCGATGTATTCTGAGCTACCTAGAGTTTTCCTTCCCTTATAATCCTAGGGCGGTAATAGCTGTGATGGTTTCCACGTCCCACTTCACAATCCAAATAAAAAGAATGATGGTCGGAGAGCCATATGAATCACCAAATAGCCTGTATGTACTGCTTAGTTAGGTTGATTTTGTTATTTTCTTTATTTTGCTTTTGGAAAAACAAGGATTTTTTTTTAGAACATGCCATTTATTTTTTAATTCCACACTAGAGTCAATTGAGTTTCATCTGTTTGCGGCATTATGTATCAAGTATTGAGATTGATAAAATGTGCGTTCATGGGAGGCGAATCGTGTTATTAAATATTTACGCGTTAATTGTTTGTTATTAAATACAAGTATTCTGGTTGGTACACGATAAGGTTATAACAATTGTTTTAGAAATATTTTACCCATTTGTGCAATATTTTAACAACTAATTAGTTAAATACGTATAATTGTGAAGTGGGATATCGACATATATATTTCTATTTATTGTAGGCTATTTATTTAAGTTTGAGTCTTAAATAAAAAAGGCTATCTTTTAATAACTTTTATTATTTTACATTTTAAATGCACACTATTTTTGTTTATATTTACACCCATAAATATGCGATAAAATTATGTTTACATAAGAAAAGACATTGTAATGGACTTCAACAAATATTCCGAGAATCACTCGACATTTGCTTTTCAAATAAATCAAACGACCACAAGCAATACAATTATTAGTACTGTACATCAATAATTTTGTTTAAAAATATTTTTTAAACTGTATTGTCTTTCGTGTGTGTATATAGTGACTGTGTCAACTTAAACATCGTTCAATGATACTTTATGTTAATAGGCTACTTTAATCTCTCTAGAAACACTGTATGTATGCATATCACATTAAAAAATCTTAAGTGTATCAAAGTGTTCTTAGACGTATTCAATTATACCTTCTGATCATTTAAATTTTCCAACAGTGTTTCCATAGCCTACAGTTATAAAAATATTTTCTGCAGTTTATAAAATGACATATCAGTACAAAATTTACTTTACTTCACTGAAGCCTTTGTTGGATATGTCAGTAAACAGACAATAATAGGTAGTCTACTTAGAAAACCAGTCGGGCATTATTTGCTTCTAGAGTTTCTAAAACTTATTTAAAATATGCACCAATATTACAGAAAAAGATATTCGTAATATTATTTATCTTCTTTCAATGCAATCTGATATAAAACAAAAAATGCATTAGTACTTTTATGAGACAATCTTCAAAAGCCAACGGCCTATTCTAACAACCCAAACTTGTCTACTAGACTTCCCTAATCGCCTTTCAAAAACTCTTTCAAATAAAAATGTTGTTTTAACTAATAAAAAAATGTTTGGTTGTTCTAGTTTTTTTTTTTTTTTTTTTTTTTTTTATTGCGTAGGTATTCTGTAGATAATTAAATATTTTATTGTTATTCCAGCTATGTCAACTGTAAAAGTTTCGTTCGTGTAACAACAGTTGAGTGCTTATGATGACGTCATTTTCAAGCATTTTACATGTGGTTTTCAAATGCAATATCTGTATCTATTTCCGTGTATCATAGTTTCTTCGTGTCTATATCTTCCTGGCGGCATATCTAGATACATTATATTGTGATATTCTAGTCTATAGTATAATTAAAGGCATCTTTGCTTATAGGGCATTTTCGTAACAACATTTTAATTCTTAAAGTTAAGAAATAATAAATATACAAATTTTAAAATAATTTCATAAATATTTTATATTTTAAATAATTATAAAATAATTTTATTTTAAAATATTTTTAGTTTTAAAATATTTTTAATTTTAATATTTTATAAGTTTTTATTTTAAAAACCAAACACAACAAATCTTTGAGTCTTTACTGTTTGATTTAACTATACTTTAATACAGATTTCACACTTGATATTTTCTTTGTGATGTTATTATTATATAATTTTTTAATTAAATTAATTTTAATTAAAAGCAACTCAACGCAGCATTTTTAATCTCTCTGTGCTTAATTCATCTCAAAGATTGTCTAAAATCATAGAATAATTATGTATTTTTTTAACTGTTCATTATATCTCAACATATTATACTGCAAATAATTACGATTACATTATTAGATAACATTTTTATTTATTTTTATTGACAATATGACCCTCTATAAGTAATGATGCTATTAGAGTAGTTTTTATATCAGTAAGTACCATACAGAAGTATTTGTATATGTAGTAAATTAGTATAATTTTTGTAATTTAGTAAAGCGTAGGTGAACTATGTGATTGTAATTATTAACATATTTGTTGAAAGGTACATTTTTGTTGTTTATCCCTTACTTTTATTACTCACCTTTGTATAAATTGCTTATTATTTCAATCTATGTACTACATACCTGTAAACATTCCCATGGAAATTAAAAAAACACGGTACAAATTTAACTTACATGAATATATTTGAGATCCTTATTAGGTAAACTGAAATTCACTATTATACTTTTTAGTTCTTAACCATAGTTTAGGTAATATTACTTCAAATTATAATTATAGTCCTAACAATTTATACTTAAGCTACGAAAGGCTTGGTTTTATCTACTCTTCTCTTTCTTACCTTTCCTATTGTACCGATCTCCGCGTCTATAGAGTATTTTCATAAATTGCACTAGGTATATGTAGTAATCATAAAGGATACCGTAGATGTTATTAGAGTTTAGGTAGTTTGAGAACTAAAGCAATTCAAAATTGAACTACCACCAAACTTTGATACCCACCGTCTTTCCCAGTACAATTGTTTGCTATTTGAATATAGTAACGATCTTATTTTATAACCCTTTTATAGTTGTTATGTATTAAATATGTTAATTCCTCTGGGTTTTTTATTGAAGCTAAACAGTATTTTAGTTGTTAATGATTAAGATGCATATTGTAACGCCTAAAACAATGGTGACGTGTATGGTTATTTATTATTAAAAGAGTCGATGCAATGTCTTGTTCCTAATTTACAATCCTGGATCTTAACTGACTTTTTTCACATGCAGGATATTTTTTTGTTTTACTGTACAGGGTGTCCCCGAATTTCCTACCGATCGTTTTAGGTAGAAGGACCAATAACAAACAAAATTATTACGTAAATCATTTTCAAAACTCAAAAGTTACCCATGCAGCCGCCATGTTGTCTTTTTCACAAAATAATTTTAATTGATTTACGGTTTTTTGTATAAATTGAATTTCGGTACACAGGTTAATATTTGCAAAAACCTATTTTGATGAAAATATTATTTTTCTCTCATGTTTGTATTAGAAATTTGGGCCATTTAAAATTTTGTCATTTACATAACATACAAACTCCATACGTAAACTAAACTACAGTAGTATGTTTTATTCAGACAGTTTCATTACGATTCTAACGATACCAAATTTAAGAAAATTGGTTAGGAAAACCAGCTAAATCAATTTAAAAATAGAAAGGAAACATTTTTTTACATACTAATAAAGTGATTTGCGGACAGTAAAATATCAATTTTAAACACTCTATTCTATTTCATATAATTATGTTTCTTTAAATTTAAATTTCAACGTTTCGTACTAAATGCGCTTTGAAATTAAAATTTTAAATACAAATTATACTGTGAAATTGGCTGGGAAAACATTTACAGCGCGCATTTTAAAAGCATCAAAAACGCCTTCTTAAGGAACATTACGCTGTAACCTCATCATAAATCTTATTTTAGAAGAGCCCCACTTCAATGAATAATCTAAATATCAAAGACCTTTCACCCTTTTATCTGGCGTATCTTTTCATCCAAGATCTTAAAGCCTTTAATATCTTAAAGATGGAAAATGTCTTCAAAATAACCCTAATTGTATCCCATTCTGGCATGCGCCTCCTCATGAAGTCCTACATTTTTGAATCTAGAAATTTCTATCGACAATAATTGATACTATTATAGTAATCCTAAGATTAATAATGTACGTGTGTGCAAAATAAAAATACAAATAAATGATTAATAAATTATGTAACCAATGTTTGAAAAAATCGATTGCGTCACTCGTATTAACAGGATTTTACCATGAACGAAAAAGTCACTGTATTTTGTACCACTGGATGGTCTCATTTACAATAATTTTATCTAAAATTATCTAGACTATTATAAAATTGAGGTGGTGACCGTCTGTCTGGGCGGCTGTCGTGACTAAAATAGTAAACCAAAGATGGTTCACATACCTATGAACATCATAGGCCACTTCCTTGAGGTCCCCTCGGGCTTCGCCCCGTAGATGTCCAGAGTTTTGAGGTGAGGTTTTCAAAAGTAAATATTGATTGATCTCCATGGCAGAATGAGGAATTTATTATGGTTATCTTTGCTTTGACATTTCAATGTAAACAAGAAACATAGCAAAATGCTCATTTCGCAATTTCAGACAGCTGAATCAAAGAAATTAAATATATTTCACACAACTATGTGGTAGGATTATTTAATCCAAAAGTTTATAGCAGATTATTTTCTAAATGTCAATGATTATGAAAATAATTTGTCTTCCCGTTGCGAAGCACGGGTGCAGCAGCTAGTAGTATTAAAAATATTTCTGCGATAAATGAACGGATAATGACCCTGCGGCTTGTAAGAGGGCAGAAATTGGTGATTGTTGGAGTGGTGTTGGAGTTACGGTAGTACAAATGTAAGGGTGAAAGAGATGTTTGATATCCTTACCTCAGTCTTGGATTGGATACTGCAGAATTATGACGTGGTCTCAGGAGGGGCCCTTATTGGAAGAATTGGGGGCCACATGGAGAGGACATAGTAAATGACAAAAAAGAGCCACTGATGGATGCATTTGGCTAGCTTGATCTGAAAATATTGTTTTTAAAGCAGAAATAAATAGGAATACACACATATACATGGCATGAGGATACCAGGGAATTAAAGTTGATTATTGATTATTTACAAGCATACAGATTGGGGAACGAGCTGGTCTAGAGTGTGGGACTTCAATTCCTGAGGTCCCGGGTTCAAATCCCACAAAACCACCAATGGATTTTATTTAGGTATGTGATAATGCAGCAACACCTAAGTTCTAGCCTATAAAACAATACCGGGCTCGTGCCTAGCCCCTAGGAAAAAATAGTCAAACATACAAAAAAACTAAATACCCCCACCGCAGTAAACCTGCAGACTAAGCGAATTTCCATTTGCCTGATTGGATTTACACTAAAGTGTCTACTTAAAAATATAACATTTATTTCCTATTTAATTAGTTTAACAAGTACTTAGGTTTGCTGCATCAGGGAGGGTAAAACTTTTTTTGTAGCCTAAAATGTTAATAAGTTAGTTAGCAGTTAGTAAGAAATAAAAACATTTTCCAAATTTGATCAAATATGTTCATAAACAAGCAAACTACAACAGTTTACTTGTTCTCCATAAGAATTACATAGGAATTTTTTATTTAACTTACCTTTTTTTGGAATTTTCTCCGTAACCATTCATAATAATAACGCTTCAATATACTATTTGTTTTTTATGCTCTACAAAATGGTTTGGAAAGAAATTGCTAAATTTTAAGTTTTTTGGGTCAAAAATGGGAAAAACCAATTTTTACCCCATAAAACCTGGAAAAACAATACCGGGCTCGTGCCTAGCCCCTAGGAAAAAATAGTCAAACATACAACCAAACTAAATACCCCCGCCGCACCTATATACCCGCCGTTCCTATAGTCCGATCATGCTGGTTCGCGAACTCGTTCGAATAAATGTAGGTTTACACGTTTATACCAAATTTCATCAAAATCGGATCATTTTTGCTCGAGTTATCGTGCTAACGGACACACATATATATATGGATTTTAACGGATGGTGTTTTTGGCCACTAGGGATCTCAAAACGAAAAAAATCGGTCCCGCGTCCAGGTCTTACCATGAGTACTACGGTAATAGCTTATTCCGTATATGGTAAATTCGCTAAAATTAACAACCAATAATGCTATAAAACTTGGAGGACTACTTCGTGTAGGACCCTAGTTAATATTTTAAAACACAGATGAGTTGGTGATATTCAATACTATTAAATTATCGAGGTAAACTTGTAAAATAGCGTTACATTTAGTGAATGATTCTAATAAACGTTGAACAGTCGTCCAAATGCTTTTAAGTTTAACAATTTCGATGTCAAGACAAAGTGTAGAAGAATGTACCGTTAATGGCTCGTTGAAATTTTAATTGCTACGATTGAGGTAAGTGAGCTAATCTGCCTCCCGCCCCAAGCGCACTTGGGTGGCTGCCGCTGAGCTTTAGATACTTTTATAATTTTATGTAAAAACCACTACGTGCAAAAAATTGTTTTACAATATACAAAGGTTTTTGTTAAAATTATTGTAAAATAGTTAAGTTTAAGTTGAAAAAGTTA